CAGGGTGACTCTGGTGGCCCCCTGTCCTGTCTCAAGGGTGGCACGTGGCTCCTGGCCGGAGTGGTCAGCTGGGGTGACGCCTGCGGTGTCCCCAACCGTCCCGGCGTCTACACGGCCGTGTCCCCTCACTCGGCCTGGATCGTGTCCCACGTCCCCGAGCTGTCCCCGCGCCGGCCGGACAATGTCACACGAGGTGATGACGTCATTGATGATGTCATTGATGATGTCACAGAGGAGGAGGAGCCGTGCCCGGCGTGGCCGCGGCCGATGGCACCGGGAGGGGACGCGGGGACGGGGGTGGCACCCGGGGCCAGCGCGGGGGGGGTGGCGGTGGCCGTCATGGTGACATTGGTGATGGGGTGGCATTAAAAAATGGGACAAAAAAGGGACAAAATGAGCAAAAAATGGCACAAAAATGGTCAAAAAATGGTACAAAAATGGTCCCAAAAATGGGGGTGGGAGTCCTAAAAATAGCCCAGAATGGTCCCAAAAATCAGCACAAAAATGACTCCAAAAATTTTCCAAAAATGTCCCAAAAATGAGTCCAAAAATGACCCCAAAAATAGCACAAAATGGTCCCAAAAATGAGCTCAAAAATGGCCTAAAAAATGGTCCCAAAATGAGCCCCAAAATGTTCCCAAGAATGGTCCCAAATGGTCCCAAAATGACCCGAAAAATGGCACAAAATGGTCCCAAAAATGAGCCCAAAAATGGTCCCAAAAGGAGCCCAAATTGTTCCAAAAATGGCCCAAAAATGGTCCCAAAATGGCCCAAAAATGGCACAAAATGGTACAAAAATGAGTCCAAAAAATGGCCCCAAAAATGGCCCAAAATGGCCCCAAAAATGAGGGATGTGACCCCAAAATTGGACAAATGACCCCAAAATTGTGAAATATCCCAAAATTTGGGAATTGTGACCCCAAAATTTGGAAATTGTGACCCCAAAATCGGGAATTGTGACCCCAAATTGGGAATTGTGACCCCAAAATTGTGAATTGTGACCCCAAAATGGGACAAAGGACCCCAAATTTGGGAATTGTGATCCCAAAATCGGGAATTGTGACCCCAAAATTTGGGAATTGTGACCCCAAAATTTGGGAATTGCGATCCCAAAATTGGGAATTGTGACCCCAAAATCAGGAATTGTGACCCCAAAATCGGGAATTGTGACCCCAAAATTGGGAATTGTGACCCCAAAATTGTGAAATATCCCAAAATCGGGAATTGTGACCCCAAAATTGGGAATTGTGACCCCAAATGTCCCCTCTGTGCCCCTCCCCCCTCGGAGACCCCTCCCCGTCTGTGACCTCTTTATTTGGGGAAAAAACACAAAATTGGGGGAAATTCCAACTTTTTGGGGAAAAAACACAAAATTGGGGGAGAAATCCCAACTTTTTGAAGGAAAATCCCAAATTTTTGGGGAAAAAACACAAAATTGGGGGGAAAAATCCCCAAAATTGGAAGGAAAATCCCAAAATTTTTGGGAGAAATCCCAAAATTGGGGGGAAAAAATCCAAATTTTGAAGGAAAAATCCCCAAATTGTGGAAAAAATCCCCAAATTGGAGGAGAAATCCCAACATTTTAAAGGAAAAATCCCAAAATTGTGGGGAAAAATGCCAAAATTGGGGGAAAAATCCCCAACATTTTGAAGGAAAAATCCCAAAATTTTGACGGAAAAATTCCAACATTTTGAAGGAAAAATCCCCAAAATTGGAGGAGAAATCCCAAAATTGGAAAGAAAATCCCCAAATTTTTCAGGGAGATTTTTGTGGGGGATTTTTTTGGGATCTTTAAAATTTTTTTTTTTTT